TGTAGTGCTATCTCATTTACTACTGTAGCTTCAAAATACATCCCACATCTGACCAGTTCTTACCAAAGTTCTCACCACCTCCAGTGCTATACCCTAGCACAGGTTACCATGATCTCTAACTTGAACTTCTCCAACAGCCTCATGACTTGTCTCCCTGCATCCATCTTCCCCACCCCACACACTCACATTAAGCCATTTTACATTTTCAAAATGTAAATCCACCACATCAATGTTTATAGCAGCTCAATTCACAATAGCTAAACTGTGAAAGCAACCAAGATGCCCTTCAATTGATGAATGGATAAAGAAACTGTGGTATATATACACAACGGAATAATACTCAGCATTAAGAGAGATAAAATTATGGCATTTGTAGGTAAATGGATGGAGTTGGAGAATATCATGCTAAGCAAAATAAGCCAATCCCAAAAAACCAAAGGCCAAATGTTTTCTCTAATAAGTTGATGCTGATCCATAATGGGGGTTGGGAGGGAAGGCCATGGGAGAATGGAGGAACTTGTAGGGCAAAGGAAGGGAGGGGTGGGAAGGGGGCATAGGGGCAGGAAAGACGGTGGAATGACATGGACATCGTAACTCTAAGTACATGTATGACTGCACATATGGTGTGATGCTACATCATGTACAACCAGAGAAATGAAAAGTCGTGCTGTAATTCTGTACAATGAATCAAACTGCATTCTGCTGTCATATATACCTAATTAAAATAAATAAATCCAATTTCTTAAAAAAGTTCTTCCCTCGGGGCTGGGATTGTGGCTCCTCTAGCATGTGCCAGACCCACATAAAAATAAAATAAAGATATTGCATCCAACTACAACTAAAAAATAAATATTTAAAAAAAAAAAAGTTCTTCCCTCATTTAATAGCTCTACCTCCTCTCAACCCATTCCTCAAAATCCTATTACCTCTTCCTCCTTCTTCCAAATCCTAATTTAGTGTTGTAAGAGGGAGTGTTTACTCAATTAAATATTATTTACCCACTGTATGCCTCAGGGCTCATGTTCCAACTGTAACTTTTGCCTCCAATCATTGACCCAAAAACCAGCCACTGATTCTCCTGTCTTCCCAGCACCTCAACATAATTCTTACAGGCTTGTAACACCAAATACTGAAGATGAAACACTATGTTTCTATATTTAAAAAAAAGTTTTTTTCTTCCCAAATCCCCTTTTCATTCCTATTTCCTGACTTACCCACATTTAAAAATAAACAACAACAACAAAAAATTTTGGAATAACTCCTTTTCCTTCACTATCAAAAATGTCACCAATTTTCCACCTTATTTAGAAAGAGGCTATCACAGCTTTTACCTCTGTTCTAAAGCTCTTAAGACCAGGAAGAAATCCAAATAGTAGATATGTAGATACACAGATGTCTATAAACATCTGATTACACCGGTTTCTATAATAGTCATGGAAAAAAATTTTCCCAAATGATCTGTCAGAAATGTGTCAACATGTTACAAAGATTTTCCTGAGGCAATTCTAAAGCACTCAGACAAGCCTAAAACATTTTTTCCCATGTTTATGGATTAGAAATGAATCATAGGTTTTGAAGAACATAGAGAACCTAAGCTTTCAAACTTTGTGAATGTACCACACAGTGAGACTATCATTCAAATGAGAGACAATTTGTAATCAGAAAAGCCAGGCCTTGGAATCATACTGTCCAAGGTTCAAATTCTACCTCAACCAATAGTGTCCTTAAATTATTTAACTGCTCTGAGCTTTGTTTTCTTTTCTATGAAATTGGGATTTTTTTATGTAGTTGCTACATAGATAATATATGAAAAACACTTAAGGCATATAAAAGTTCAATAAACTGTAGGAATTCCTATAAAACCAATATTTTCCAGCCACTGAATACAGGCAGTGGAAACAATTAGGTATTTAACAGAATATGTTTTAAAAGTTGATATCTATAACAAATAAAATTTAAAAGGTTAACTCTACATATACCTAAAAATAAACAAATCCTGTTAGCTGATTAAAAGAATGGTCTGAATTCTCTAGACTAGTCTAAAGTTAGCTGTCTGCTTTTCATCCAACCCAAAGGTTTGCAGAAGTAGCAGGAGGGATTAAAATCTTCAAAAGATTCTGCTTCAAACAGACTCAGTGGAGCATATTTCAGGTTCATAGAAAAGAAGCATGGAGAGGAACTAAGCAGCAGCTCAAGTTCCCTAAACTGATAGTGAACTTCAGAGATGCTTCTTATTTCAACAAGGAATTCTCTGCTGGCACAAACATAATGCTACTCCACTGTCAGACATGCAGCACCTATTGTGTCAAACTTTGTGTTAAGACCATAAAAATAGACAAGATGCAGACTCTGCTGACACATTAAAAGGAAGAAACCAGGTAAGAAAAATCAAAGCTTACATATTATACAGTAAGTGTCTAACAGTAACTACAGTAAAAACTTTCTCCTCTTAGCATCTTCAATCTAAAATGTCAATGTCATCCCTCCCACCTTCAGCACCAATGGCTTCCCACTGCTCTAAGATAAACACTAAATTTCTGTAACAGCATCAACAAGGCCGACCACAGTCTGATGCCTGCCTACTTCTCTAGCACCAAGACATCCCTGCACCACACCCCCAATAGGCTTTTCTAAGATCTGTAAATCTCTGGCCACTGGACCCTTCCATTTGCTGTTCTCCCATGTATAACACTACCACTTCTCTTTAACCTAGGGGAAAAAAGTTAGGCTGGGGAGATAGCTCAGTTGGTACAGGGCTTGCCTCACATGGACAAGGCCTTAGGTTCAATCCCCACCACCACAAAAACCAAATTTTTAATTAATTTTTTACAAAGTCACTTCACCCTTCAATATTTATCATAATTTTCATTCCCAAAGTAAGTACTCCCTTACAATATGATTAAGAGCACTGGCTCTGAGGGATATGGGTGTGACACATGGTAAAAGTATTTGCCTAGCACATGCAAGGTTCTGGGTTCCATCCCCAGCACCACAAAATAATAATAATAGTAATAATAATAAATAATTTTCTAAAAGAGCACTGCCTCTGGAGTTCTAAACCCAGAACTAGGTCTGCCGCTTACTAGTTCTGACTTTGAGCGAGTCACATAACACTTTGTGCCCTGATTTCCTCTTCTAAAAGTGGGGATTACATGGCTATTGTGAAGATTAAATACATTAACTCAAGTAAAGCACCAGAATAGTACCTTGGGACAGAGAACTTGAAAGTATTGACTTGGTCAAATCCCTATATTTTATTACAACATCAAACCCCCTCCCCAATAGCGTTTTCTCTCTTACTAATAGACCAAATTTTCTAAGAAAACAAATCATATTCATGCCCTAGAATTGGAACACAGGAGTTATTCAATAGAGATGTTTAGAAACAAGACCTGAAAAGAAGCTAAGGCCCAATGAAGTGACCTGAGCAACACACTGAACCTCATGCACACACCTTTCCCAAACTGCCTCCTTCATAAATGTACACAAGTCTTACAATTGCAATAGAACTGATGTAACCAGTGAAGATTAAAATATTACAGAACGATAAGGATTCAAGAACAAACGGGCCTGTGTAATGGTGCACTCCTGTAAGGCAGTGGTTTGGGAGGTTAAGGCAGGAGGATCACAAGTTCAAAGTCAGCCCTAGGAAGGCCCTAAATAACTTAGTGAGACCCTGTTTCTAAATACTTTTTTAAAGGGACTGGGGATATGGCTCAGTGGTTAAGCACCCCTGCGTTCAATCCCAGACACCAAAAAAATAAAATAACAAACAGCATATAGCAACACAAAGAACAGCCAGAGTGGGCCTTCTGCAACTGACACTAAGCAAATACAGGTGCCAAGGTTACTTCCAGCTCTCTCACACTGCCCAACTGGGCCTCAATTCGCTCACCTTCAAAAAGAGTAAGAGAGGGCAGATCATCTCTGAAATGTCTTCCAAATCTAAATTTCAATAACTATAAATCAAATTATGTAGAAATTTTTTAAGGATTTTTCATTAAAAAAAAAAAAAAGGCCAGGCACGTTGGCGCACACCTGTAATCCCAGCGGCTCCCGAGGCTAAGATAGGAGGAAGAGTTCAAAGCCAGCCTCGCAATAGCGAGGAACTAAGCAACTCAGACCACGTCTCTAAATAAAATACTGAATAGGGCTGGGGATGTGGCTCAGTGACTAAGAGCTCCTGAGTTCAATCCCCGTTGGAGGAAAAAAAAGAAAAACGTTTAACAAGCACACTAAACCTGCGGACAAATGGTTTTCAGGGGCCTTCATCTTAAAGAATTGGTTCAAATGACTTAATAGGGTTGTATTGCATACACTAAGCCCAGAGTTACGACGGACTCCAAGTGAAAGGGGGAAAGAATCAAGAATCAAGCAGCACAGGTCAACACACCAACCTGTAGATGAAATTGCCACGGTAACACCATAGGGTGAACAATGCTGAAATACGTTTCAAACCAAGCTACTACACAGCAAAAAAGAAAGAAAGAAATGCACAGACTTTTTCACATACGGTACCAGTGTGATGCCCTACAATTTGGGCAGGCTTTCAACTCAAACCTGAAATCTATTTAGCAATCCTATCATATATTACTTTAAAAGTTAGGATAAACTCACAACCCCAACTTGAGCAGCCATTCCTAACAACTCTCAAAAGGGGCAGGACTCTTAAAAACACATCTGGAAAGCATAACACGAAGCCAGTACCCTAGAGGCACTGGAGTCTGTCCACAGGCTGTGCAGGTACTTCACTGCCTGGAAGAGCAGAAAATGCACAGCCGCCTGCCTCCGTAGGCCTCTGTCCTCGGGACCCTGGAGAGATGCCTGCTACGAGGAATGCCTCCCGATCCGGCTCCACGGCGAACTCGGGGATGGAGGAGGAGCGAGGGGCGCAGACAGCCGGGAACCCAGGTCCGGGGAGGACACGTCTGGCCCGGGGCACCGGCCCCAGGAGAGAGGCCGGCTGGGAGCCCAGGCCCAGAAGCCCCACCGAGTCTCACCTTCAGGGTCCACAGCGCCGCGCTCCGCATCAGCTGAGGAGGGGGCCGCCGCCCCCGCCGTCCGGCCGCGACCAGCGCGAATGTCCCTACCAAGAGCCCCGCCATTGTCGCCCGGGCGATCAGAGCTCAGCTGACCTCTCACCCCGCGGAAGGGGGCGGAAGGGGAGCGTCCGAGCCCCGGCCAATCACGAGCCAGAAGTCCGAAGCCCCACCCCCAGTCGCCAGGGGAGGGCTGCGAGGGTTCTGCTCTAACCGCCCGGGCCGGGAGCCGCGCCGAGAGAGGAGCTTTCTAGGACCCTCCGGGAGCCGGCTGCCGCGCGTCCCGCTGCGAGCCTAGCGGGAGGCCACGCGCCCGAGCCGACCCCCGCGGGAGAGAGACCCTGGACGCGCGCCTGCAGCGATCGCGAGCTGTGCCCGCGTCAGCTTCGCCAGCGGCGCTCGGTCGTGCCGGTTAGGTCTTTGAGTCACCCTGGAATCCCAGAGTCCTAAACTCCAGGCTTGTGCCCAAACTGATAGCGCAACTTGCCGAGCACAAACCGTGGTCAGGTTTCCCAGTGGGGTAACAGGAAAAGCTCCAGGTCTAGAAATCACAAGTCCGAACTCAGCTCCCACTTCTGCCACTTCACATCAGCGTGTCCGGGGAATTGAGCCCTAAGCCGAATGGGTTCCTGTCACTTTCCAGCAGGAGCTGCTGCCAGATGCCTCAGATTCTCTCTTATTTTAAACTGTACAAGAATCTTATACATTGAACCAATCTTAAGAAACAAAGAATAGAGAAGTAACCACTTAACTTGTAAATGGTGAAACTAAGATTTGAACCCAGAACCGAATGTATTCAAGAACCAGGTTTTGCTACATTATGGAAATGTTTTAACGAACTCAAAAAAATATTAAATTGTATTAATAATCATCCAGTTTCCCATAACACAACTTCAACAAATCAACATTTTACCAGTCTTGTTTCATCGATTCCCCTTTTTCATTTTTGCTGAGGTTTTTTGTTGTTGTTGTTGTTTGTTTTGGCCAGGCGTGCTCAATCACTGAGCCACATCTCCAAGCCTTTTTATATTTTATTTAGAGATGTTTAGAAACAAGACCTGAAAAGAAGCTAAGGCCCAATGAAGTGACCTGAGCAACACACTGAACCTCATGCACACATCTTTCCCAAACTGCCTCTTTCATAAATGTACACAAGTCTTACAATTGCAATTGAACTGATGTGGCCAGTGAAGATTAAAAGATTACAGAATGATAAGGATTCAAGAACAAACAGGCCTGTGTAATGGTGCACACCTGTAATGCAGTGGTTTGGGAGGTTAAGGCAGGCAGATCACAAGTTCAAAGTCAGCCCTTGAGTTGCTAAGTGCTTTGCTAAATTGCTGAGGCTGGCTTTGAACTAGCCAGAACTCGTGCCTCAGCCTCCCCAGCCGCTGGGATCAGAGGCGTTTGCCTCAGGGCCCGGTTTACTGGGGTATTTTAAAGCAAATATCAGCAAATAATCTCACCTATAAATACCTCAGTACCCTGATTTCTTCTCTTAACTATTTTGCCTCTCTTACAAAATCACCTTGAGAGAGTTACAAAACAAGGAATGACTTAGAACACATCACAGCATGTTAATGCCAAAAGCAATAAACAAGATGTTTGGAGGTATAAGAAAGGTAATATTGAGTGCAATTTTTAAATGTAAATAGGAATTTTCATGACAAAATGAAAACAAATAACATCTTTACAGGATTTCTCATTTGTGTACCCGAGGTACCTAAGACTGAACTAATTTCCTGTCCAGAAAATCGCTTTTCTTTTCCTCTGTCTCCACTCCTCCATTTTTTATTCTTTGGATTAGTTCACTTTAGGTTCTGTTTTACTTATAGAAGTTCTTTCCATGAATGTCAATTGTTAAAGAAACTATCTCAATTCTGATAAGAGAACTACTGAGTTTTAGCTGGGCACATAACCATGCAGCTAGAACCTACAAAATCCAGGCTTCTTTACAAGAATATGTAATCATATCACTTAGGGTTGGCCCGTGGCATGTAAGGTCTGTGCAATTAAAAATGAGGGGTGAGGGGTTGGGATTGTGGTTTAGTGGTAGAGCACACACTTGTCTAGCATGTATGAGGCACTGGGTTCAATTCTCAGCACCACATATAAATAAATAAAGGTCCATTGCCGCAGTCTGGCTGGGCACAAAATCACGAGCCACTCAAGCAGGAACAAACTTTATTTTTTGAAACTGCCGCCAAATGTCCCATAAGCCCCGGGAAGATTTTCGATCCACCCACGCGGCCTCCACCAGGAGGCAGAGAGAGCTCCTCCCCCGGAACTCCCTCCTACTGTACTTCCCCAACCAATGGGAACTCTCCAGGAGTCCCGTAGCCGGCCTAGGTGAACAGCAGGAGTCCAATATCCATATGAATGCAAATCTTAACATAATCATATCATCTCAATGGCTAGCTGGCGTCACCTTTTGACCAAAAATGCCATGCATCATATACTTGGCTCTTAGCAGTCCATCTAGTGTGTGAGACCGTAAGATCCTCCTGCCTCAGCCTCCAGAGTTGCTGGGATTACAGGCACGCACCACCATGACCACCTTTAACAATTCTTTATCAATGTTTGGGGATATAGCTCAGTGGTAGCATACTTACCTGGCATGCATGAGATCCTGGGTTCCATCACCAGCACAGCAAAAAATTAATTAAAAATCCAAATTCTCCACTTCTTTTGGGAAATCAAAACACTTCTCACATGAAAAGGGCAGTTCAGTTTGCCACACCCAGAGCTTTAGTCCAGTTTAGATGCTTGTGTTTTTATCCCTGTTCTTTCTTAATCCAGGATGTGAAATGATTGTATTTGTATTTTATTTGTTTGGTTGGTTTTGTGGTACTGGTAATGAAACCCAGGCCCTTGCCCATGCTGGGCAAGTGCTTTATCACTGAGCCACATCCCTATCTCTTTTTATTTTTTGAGACAGTGTCTCACTAAATTGCTGAGGCTGACCTCAAACTTGCAATTCTCCGCCTCAGGCAACTGAGTCACTGGGATTATATGCACAGGTTACTGCATCTAGCACATTTTAATTATTTTTAAGTGTACAATGCGGTGGTGGTAAGTATATCCATACTATTGTGCTACCAATACCACTATTACCCCCAGAAACTTTTTCAAACCTATTATACGTATACCTATTAAATGTTAACTCCCTCTTTCCCCTCACCCAGCACCAGGCATCTATAATTCTAAGTTGGACTATTCTAGATATCAAATATCAGTGGGATTGTTATACTCACTTTTGTTTGTTTGTTTTGTGCAAGGGGTTGAACCCAGGGGCACTTAACCATTGAAGCACATCTCCAGCCCTTTTTAATTTTTTTATTTTGAGACATGGTCTCACTAAGTTGCTTAGGGCCTCACATAGTTGCTGAGGCAACTTGAACTTTCAATACTCCTATTTCAGCCTCCCAAGCCCCTGGGAACATAGGTGTGCACTACCAAGTCCAGTGGTATACTCAGTTTTATCAAAAGACATGAATAGTTTTGCTAAAACATTCTCAAAACAACCCATTCACCTTTCTTTCTTTTTTGTTTCAGACAGGCCCTCAGTACTTTGCCAAGGCTGAGCCTGGAACTCAGCGTCCCAAGTAGCTGGGATTACAACTGTATGCCACTGCACCCTGTTCATTCATAGCTTTACACCCAGGGTATTCATATTCTGTAAGGCCATTGGGCATGGTGACTCAAGCCTGTAATCCCAGCTACTTCCAAAGCTGAGGCAGAAGGATTGCAAGTTCAAGGCCAACCTGAGCAATTTAGGGAGATCCTGTCCCAAAATTTAAAAGATAGAAAGAACTGGGGTTATAGCTCAGTGGTAAAGTTCCTCTAGGTTCAATTCCCAGTACAAAAAAAAAGTTTGATTAAAAAAGAAGGGGCCTGAGGATGTAGCCCATTAGAGGAACCCTAGATTCAATCCCCAGTTTGGTGCAAGAACAAGCAAAAGCACAATATTTTCCCACTACCAACAATTTTTAAGTTGTAGGAAAACTGAAACTAAGTCGAGATATTCCCATGGCAACCAGCTCAGAACAACGCAAGGTGATTTCTGCCCTAGCTGAGTAGAGGAAGTGACATACAAAGACATTCCTAAGGACTGGGGGGCACTTCATCTGGAGGTTTTAGGGCACACTCATGCTGGCAGCTCTTCTATGAGTGCTTGCCTATCATGCAAGAGGCCTCAGGTTCCATCCTCAGCTTCTCAAAACCAAAATAATGTCCCAGCTACTCAGAAGGCTGAGGTAACAAGACCACTTGAGCCCAGGCATTAAAGACCAGCTTGGGCAACAAAGCAAGACCCCCCTCCCCATCACAAAATAAAAGTTCACCTTTTCTCAATGACTGAGAAGGCTATCTTTGTCATAGGCTAAATTTCCATACATATTTGGAACTACATGACTTGGTTAGTCTGTCTAGCCAATTACCAATATCACAGTGTCTTAATTATAATAATTTTTATCTTTATAATAATTTTTTATATCTGCTAAAGTCAGTCCTCTCTTGCTTTTCAGGATATTCTTAGATTTCAAGCTTACTTATTTTTCTATATGAAATCCAAGCTTGAGTTCCAAGAAAAACTTTGCTGGCGATATTTTATTGGCATGAGATTAAATTTACACGTTAACTGAGGAGATTTGAATATTTATTATGTTGAGTGGTCCTATCCAAGAACAGGGAATATGTTTCTTTTATTATTATTATTAAAGCTGTATAGTTATACATAGTTGTTGAGTTCATCCTGACAAATCATTCATGCATGCAATTCCATTCAGTTCATGATCTTCCCCGTTCCTCCCCCCTTGTTCTTCCTGTCTTCCCTACCCAATCCCATTTTCCTTCCTCTATTCTATTAGACTTCCTTTCATTTGTATATTTAATTATATTTGATTGGTTCTTTCTACCTATGAATAAAAGTGAATTTCTCTGAAAGAAAACAGATGCCAACCAAGAACTTTATATCCATCAAAATTTAAGTTTCAGATTTGAAGATCAAATTAAAATCTTCCATGATAAACAAAAATTAAAAGAATTCACAACTGTAAAGCCTACACTGCAGAGCATTCTCAACAAACATTGAATGAGGATGAA